CGCACTCCCCAATTTTGTTTTTATACTGCCAATGTTGAAAAAATACTGATTGGGCTTTCCTGCAAATTTGCACAACTCCTGTTTAAAAAGGGGTAGATACACATTCAGGGTGGACCCTGCCACTTCTGCTTAACAGCAGCATGAGTGTTAGAGCACACACTCACACACTTACTAATTGTTAGACATTTTCATAACTTTCCAGAAAACCCATTTGTATATTATTCAGCAGGGCTTCCCCACTTACAGTTAATCTAACTCAGTGTAACTGTAAACTGTCAGCTATTTCAAAACACCTGCTGGGACTCAAACGTTTTTGATATACTGCAGAATGAACCGGATTTGTTCTCGCTGTAGTCTGTTGACTTTTCATGCCGCATTTAAATTTGACTTATCTGCACCCAGCAGAGGGAAGTGTTTTTTTAATGAAGTTTTCTCCTTTTAAGACAATCCTATGGATACATGTTAGACACCTGTCAGCCTTAAAGCAAAGATTGTTTGCTCTGAAGATGCCTCTCTATATCTTTTTCAGTATCCGTTTGGTCTCTACAAGGACTCTTTCCTCGTTTCCTTTAAACATGCTACATTTTTTTTAAAGAAATGACTTACAGGGAGGACTGTAGTTGTGGTGGGTTGCCTCTGTTGTTCAGCAGCCATTGTGGTCATGCTTAATTAGCTGAGAGTGTGTGCCAAAGGGAAAAACAATAATCAAATAGTGTATAGCTGCAAACCCCACACCCAGCGGTTACATCAGGCTATCAGTGATTTTATTATGATGACCGGCCTCAATCGTGATTAAATGTTTGGCACACCCCTGATGATTTGTTTGTGTTGCATAAAGACATAAAATCACTTTCCAGATTAAGTTTTCTCTCTCGATTCTCACAAAAACATTCACAGTTATAGTCCACAGATAGGCAGAGCTCCAGCCACCCCTCCCCCTCTCTGTCCCCTGTCCTCAGTGGGCAGCCTGCCAATGCCTGTGCCCAGTTAACAGCACAGTGCTGGGAACCCCAAGGCCCCAAGCAGGTGTCAACCTCCCTGCTCAGCCAAAGGAGCTGAGAGAGGAACACAAAGGGCTCAAAGAGACCTGCCAGCATGGTTACCGTCTTAAATATCCCAGGCCAGTGTGGCCACTCCTCTAAATCTCTCAGCAGCATAGGGTAGCTGCCAGTTTGCTCTTTCTGCTACTGTAACACTGACTCTCAAAGGGGTTTGAAGCTTTTTTTAAGCTCTGCCCTTAATGGGGGCTCAGAGTGGTGAGATTGATGGAGGGCGTCAGGAGTGCACAGATAGAAGGATGAGTCTAGTTTGAAGCTTTTATTCATGCGGCATGCAGCTAGAGGAAAGGAGCCAGAAAGTAGAAGCTAAAAAACAAAGAAATATCCGTCTGGGGTTTTCATCATGGATTTAGTATTGTTATCTCATCCATTCACGCTGTGCCTTCGTCACACCCTTTCTTTCTCCCTGCCTGTGTTTAACAGTTTCTGCTGCCGTCGTCAGACAGTTTATGGATCATCTTAACGGGATGCCTCCACGTCCAGATCTCATGGGCTTGTGTGATCTTTGAAAACAGTGGCTTGTCTGAGGGCTAAGCTGTCCTGGCATTTAGATTGGCAAGACTGTAAGAGAACTGGACGAGAGGGGAAAGTGATGCCTTTCTCTCTCCTTCGCTCCCTCTCTGTTCATTGTTGCCTACTCTGCAGTGATGATGTGGATGTGATGGGGGGGGGGGGGGGGGGGGGGGGGGGGGGGGGGGGGGGGGGGGGGGGGGGGGGTGCAGTGGAGTGGAGGCTACCCTCATCTTCAGTAAACAATAGGTCCTTGTGTGTTTGACCCCCTCTTCAGCAGAGTGGAGTCCATGGCTCGGGCTGAAGCCGGGATGGAATTCCATCTTTGCCAGATTTAGTCGGTGGAAACCCCTCACAACAAAACCCCAACACTCCCAGTGTTAGGAGGGTCATACCTCAGGGGCAATTTATTCTTATTTACAACCACATCAATAATCAATTATCATCCTCTCCCTTTTTCTGGAGCTGTGGTGGCCCCCATTGATTGTCTGAACGTGCTGTGCCACATGATCCATCTCCCCCTCGGCTGCCTAACTGATTACTAACCTATATTTGAGTGGGATGAGCCACAATGGTGCTACTAGGTCATTAAAAAGTGGTTGACAATGATTTATTTGTCCTATAATTGTATCTTTTGTTGTGTGATTATGGTTAGAAAATCTAAAACGAGGACAAATGAGCTATGGAAGTAGTAAAAACACTCTAAATTTTCCTTGTAAGATCATATCTTGTGTGTCATCTTTATTCGCTTGGTCTCTCTTCAGCAGCTTTGAGTGAACTCTTTTCAGTGGCTTGAATGCTGCTAATCAAATCCATATTACTGGGTCACAGTGCGGCTGCTTGTTGGTTCCTATCAGAGAAAAGTTTTGTTATCTCAATCCTAGTCTTACAAGACATCCGATAACCTTTTTATCCCCTTCTTCGCGTGACCGGCCCACCCATTTTGCGGAGGTGTGCTGCGGGTACGTCAGCTTCCTTTGAGCACGTTGTGGGAAACCAGAATAACCTGCTTTGTGCCAGATCACTTTACATCCTCAGAGAAGCGCACACAGTCACCAACCAGACCCACCTGTCCTCTGTCTGTTACAACATTAGCCGTCAGAGTCCTCTCCATTATTGTAAAAGCCAACGTCATCCGGGCTAAAGGAGAGTAAAGTCAGGCTACAAAGCTAGAGCCAGCTGACACGTCCCACACTGCTCCTCTCACATGATTGGATCAACAGGAAGCACTTGAGCTTTACAATTGCATTATGTCAGTTAATCACTTTCCGGGTTAATACCATTTCAGAGTTGGTCATATTGACAAAAAAAAAAAGGTAATCGCTCTTCCGTCCATGTCAGAATGAATCTGGTTGATAGTCATGAAAATTGACCTTCAGATTATTTTGCATGTGGCCTGCATTGCAGTAAATTTGGCAAAGGTTTCATGTATTACAAGTGGGATTGAGAACAGATTTAGAGATTTGTTTTAATATTTTACTTAAGCTTTAAAGCATGAGCTTTTTCCCCCCTCCAGCTTTTCTGCTGACCTAAAACAGGCGACTTGAAATAGGGTTTGTTAAACCAGAGGATATCACCATTTTAGACAAAAATGAGTGACTGAAAGCACAAAAATATCATTAGTTATGGACATTTAATCTTCTATATTTGAGGCGTATCACTTTCAAGTTAAAATCATGTACTCATCCTGAATTTTATTGCAACAACTGTGACATTGTTCTTTATTTTATAACATTTCATGATTAATGACACCATTGGTAACAGTGTTTACTATCTGTTATAGTAGCTTCTCAGCTTCTGGGAAGACTTTTAGCAGCAGAATCTGCATCGACTTGCACTTTAAAGCCGTGTGCCAAAGACAGAAAAACAAAATATGAGAACTTGAGGCTTTATTGAACATGATCCACCTCCTGAGGTGTGTCTGGGTAAGCTGAACAGTCACACACATAGCACAGAACGGACTAATGGAGTCCTTATCAGGCCCATCCTGAAGTGAATGCACCAGAGAGCCGTTTAAAGGCAGAAAGATCACGATGCTCCACAAATTGGATGAATTGAAAAAGACACCCACATGTGATAAGAGCTGATAGCTACCAGGAATGCTGTCACCATCATCATCGTCACCGTTGTCGTCATCATCACCTGAGGCAAACGGATATACAACAATAGTGCAGCACAGAGTAAAATGTTTTCAAAAAAAGGGGATTTTCTTAAGCCGAAGGTGTTAAGTTGTTGCGTAATGCACACGCCAACAATGAAGTGAGGTGTCATGCAGCGGTCACAACATGCACCATGTTAACTGCACTGTTAATTGTTTCAACATACACATTTATGGGAGTGTCAGGCCGACTGTGTGTGTGTAGTTTTTGTGCCTGTTACAAACACGAGTGGGAGTTTTTCAGTCACTGTGACTTGTGTTAGTTCAGGACCTCATCATGTGCTGCAGCCCTCCCTCTCTTTCCTCCTCACATCCTGTCTGTCTGATCCTTCATTCAGATGAAACTTCACATCCATCAGTTCTTCAGCTTTGTTATTTAAGTGGCTCCAAGTTCCTGAAGAAACCAATCAGTTAATATAGACCCTTCAGATGTCCATTGGAATAAAAGAAGTATGAAAATTACAAATGTCAGAGTTGCCTTTGACCAGTAGCGTGAGTTTACTTCCTTCGGTTTGCAGTATGTCAAACAACACGAGTGATTCATGAGCATGATAGTGAAAAGGACACCAGGAGCATTAGTTCCTAATTTGTTGGTGACTTTTGCAGCTGACTGCTGTGTACTGTGTACACCCAGTGTTGGAAAGTAATTAGGTGCATTTTCTTACGGTTTTAGCACACTTTTTGAGCCACTTAACTAGATACTTTGCAGGTTCAGATCGTCATTACAAAATATAAATCGACAAATAAATTTAAAGTCCGAAACCCCACAGAATTTTATTGACTGTCATGTAAAAGAAACGCAGGAACCAACAAACACTTTTTGCTTGAAAAATGACTGAGGAAAGAAATTGATTAATTTTCTTTACACTGACTAATCGTCGCAGCCACCTCTAGAGTCAAACAGTGAGCAGAACTTCTCTTTATTCTTTAACATGAGAATGTTATCTGTATCTCATCTGAGAAAACATGAATTTCACACTTGCTTCTATTGAAAGAGAGTTGTGCAGTTTCCGTCCAAAATATCTTCCCTCATCGATTTTATTCAAATGTGTGTGACGTGCTTCACTAACCTCCCAAAGCGATACAAAAGCGGATGAATCAGTCCTGCCAGCTTTCAGTATGAGGGAAGTGGATTTGATGCCTGTCCCTTTTTAGCGCCTGTGCTGCATGATAAGACCAGCCTGTGAGCAGCCCGTTCATTTCTACATCCTTGTAAAAACATTTTTTTAATTTTGGAGCATCCTGCTTTACCTTATTGCTTTCTCTTTCTGCAGAGGAAACTTCACAGTTCCGAAGTTACCAGAGTCTAATATGGGATTTGGCGTGCTGGGAGTGTTCCTGGGGCTGCTCCTAGAGGTCTCCACCCATGGACCCCACGCTGTGCCCCGAACCTCTTGGAGACACCAAGGTAAGCCTCAATGTCATATATATACATTATATAAGTAAATAATTCAAAATAATAAGACAAAATACAAGAAAGAGAGGAAGTTTGTATACCATGTGTCCTTTTATACAGTAAATCCCATCCTTACAAATCTAAACCACTTCTTGTAAATGTAGAACCTCTGTGCTGATTTAAATTGAAACTTTGCTCGAGTCACTGAGACTCTGCGGGCACTCAATTTGGGAAGTCATACTTGTTAGTCTTATCTGGTATTCATCAGCTTGCACAACCTTAAAACAAGAAACAAGAGATGCTAATGCAATGTTCAGTTTCACCACTGGCAATGCATAAAGAGCGAAGCATTCACACTGTTTGGATAGATCTTTGTAATACCCCAAAGTATCTCAGGCTACCCTCAGTGTCACCACAGGTCTCAAGTGAGAGCATTTAGGCGTCAGGCGGAAGTTCTGTTTGCATGCTGCCGTTTACAGAAATAGCTCCAGCAACTCTGTGGGAACCAGCACAGCTCCAAGTTTCTGCGCTCACTGCAGCACAGTCACTGTTTCAGTCCGTCAGTGAGGGTGTTTGCTTTCATCATTGTGGTGTTTATGTCCAGGCACCTGCAACCCGAACCCACTTGCACCTGGCACAACCAAAGCCAGGCCGGACACAAGCGCTCCGCTGGGTTTGCCATCAATCACGACCCGAGAGTCTAGCGAGTCTAACGAGAGATACACTCACGTAACATGTCTCACGTAGAGAGGCAGAAACATGTGTCTCAAACATCTGTCTGAGGGTCTTCACAGTATTCAGAGTTGTGCTTTGGTGGTTTTATCTCCAGGCTTCACCTTTTGTTGACTCAAGGTGCAACTTAAACCTGTACTCGCTGTTTTTTCTGTTGTTTGTTTAGCAGAAACAATCTTCAAACATAATACTGACATAGTTCTGGCCTATAAAGTTGTTATGATGGAGAGGGAGCAACATTAGCATTCATTTGGGGTCTGCTTGTTTTTGGCCGCCTCATTCATATAAGTCCAATATTCACTCTTCTTTTTAGCTCTGCTTTGGTCTCCATTAACTCCTGAAGAAAATATCTGCCTCCACTATGATCACCAGCTAGTCACTAACCGTGTCTGTCTGCTGCTGGATGCTGAACAAGCCCCCAGGAACAGCACGGATTTTAAAGCCAATTTGACATAGTGGCCAAACTGTGGAGTTACAACTTCTGGGTCAGTAATGTGTTAATGTGTGGCCGAAAATACTTTTTCCCAGAGACTTACGTTGTGAAAGAGACGTTTGTTCATCAATTGATACATTTTTTGAGCATGACAACCCCTAAGAAATGATTCAATTCACTATTGGTATTTTGTCCGTTCAGTCCAATAACATTTCTTAAGTCTAGAAGAGCTACACGATGCAATCACTTTTATCCCCATTCAAATTAACGAAGGGTTAAACCGGAATTTAGCCTCTTGGCCAGTGGGAAGTGTCTGGTTTGCTTGTTCTATGGGCCCTGGAAGATCCTGATAATTTCATAACCCTAAAGATCAAGCATGAAAGGTGTGGAGAGAATGATATGCAGCAATGGGCTGTGGGTTGTAATTGAACCTGGGGCCGCTGCAGCAAGGACATAGCCGTGTGTACGTAGCCGCGAGTACATGGAGCACTCACTCTATCATGTGAACTACTGGGCACCCCGACTTGAGTGATAATTACTCGTGGCTTTGTAACTACAAGGGATCCCTTTCATATTATACACAGTCATTTGATCTATTGTTAATGTAAAAATATTGACTATGGCAGCTTTAAGTTAAATTCTCAAACTCTCTTCAAAACCTGGCATATTTAAGTTTTGGTTGTTCTGGATATGGATCATGTGATACCATCCAATGTTTTTGTGCTCAGATTTAGATCTGATGGAGTTTTCGGAGCCTGACATCTTCAACTACTCCACCTTGTTGCTGAGTGAGAAAAGAGATGCACTCTACGTGGGAGCCAGGGAGGCCATCTTTGAGCTCAGCAAGAAGAATGTGACTGTCAAAAACAACAAGGTATCAAAATACCAATATTGTGAACAGAATATTGTGAGAGAAAAAAAATATTGTTAAATTTTAATTATCTTTCTTTTTTCTTTTTGCCATTTTAAGGTTCAGTGGACGGTTGCAGAAAACCCCATGATGATGTGCACACAAAAAGGAAAATCAAAAGAGGTTAGTTCAGTTATTCATATGTTAATTTAGTTTATCTGTCTTAACCTATGTGTTATAAATTAACAGTCAAACAATAAAATATCAATTTGTTCTTAATTTATCAATTGTTGCGTTCCAGAGGGATTGTCTAAACTACATTCGAGTGCTCCAAGTCGTAGACGACGAGCGGCTGTATGTCTGCGGCACGCATGCCTTTCAACCTCAGTGTGACTACTTGGTGAGTCAATGCTCAGTCCCACTAATACACATGTGCTCAGGCTCGCCAGTCATCACAGCAACCTTGAACTGAAATGTAACTCCTCTTTCAGAACCTCGCTGACTTTTCTCTGAGCGGTCGACCTGAAGACGGCCGGGGGAAGTGCTCCTTTGACCCCTCACAAAGCTTTACTACTGTCATGGTTGGTAAGTCGAAGCCAGTTTTATGTCATTTCACAAAGAGCTCTTTTGGTCGGCAGCCCTGCGGTAAAATGCATAATAATCCCCAATAATCTCTTGGGGTTTTTTTGGAAAATGGACTGGCTGGACAATAATTTTAATTTTATTTTATTCCCTGTTTTTCTCTCAGATGGAGCGCTGTACTCAGGGACAGCTTATAACTTCTTAGGCAGTGAACCAATTATTTCCAGATACTCTCCCTCCCAGTCCCTGCTGCGGACAGAGTACTCCACATCATGGCTCAATGGTGAGTTAGGACAATATGTGAAAAATGAACATTTTGAATTAATGTAAACTAGTGCAGTGCCTGTTCACAATGTGCCTGTTTGGGACAGGCCCCGAGCTTTCCCGAGAACAGCTCATCCAAACAACTTCGAGCTCAACACTGTGCTTCCTTGGGTCCTGAGCATTACACGTGCCATGACATAGTCACGTCCCCTAGCAATGCTTGAGTGTACGTGTCATTTGGGTGCAAAAGCTCACACAAACATTCGTCTGTGTTTTTAATGTACTGCAGCAAGTGACAGAGCGAGCTGCGCCCAGCATGCCGTTCAGTGGTATGACAGCTAATAGGGGTCCCCTCCCACAACACAGCATGTACTTCTGGAACACTTCTAACGTATTGCTCATAAATATGTCCTGTAGATCTCGAATACATCTACAGATGGCTCATATAGCGCCGCTAAGCTAGCTAATGTTACAGCTCGGCCGAGGAGGACGCACTTAATGTTTACATCATCTGTCACGACCATGAGCCTCTCGTCCATGAGTAGATGCATGCTTCCCTCTGTGCAATGATTCGCTTGGCGGGTGTAGCTCAGTAGAAAGATACATTTCAACATGGAACTGCTCACAGCAAAGTCTGTGGATTATTTTGAGTAACACTTGAGTCATGATTTCTGGAAAGAGACATTGCTGTTGAGTGTTGCAAATGTATTTTTTCGGTGCTTTGAGCACCATGAGGCGAGCGCCATCTAGTTCCATTATATTAGACAGAAGGCAGACATCATACGGCCGGTATCTCCAACAATTGGCAACTCACACCAAAACAATCTAGACTAAGATACAGGAAAGAGGAAAAATATGTATTTTTGATTTTGGGGTGAACTTTCCCTTTAAGACATCCTACTGTGCAAGCATTTGCTCACATACACAAGTAATATTATTGAGTGTGATTGTCACTTTCACCAGTTAAAATGACATAACGCTACAGACAGCAGGTCATATCAGCGGCCACTACTTAAGGTTAATTCTGTGAGTAACTTAATATCAGGCCAAAATGAAATAGTTTAAATTGTGTATGAGGTAAAAGATACTCTGCTCTGAAACACCACTGTACAACTGCGAGTGGACTTACTGATACATCTCATCATCATCTTCTCGTGTCACGTCGGTTTCAGGGCTCAAATTCTCCAGTTAAACTTTCGTTCATATCACATCAATAATTGAAGCTTATACACTTAATATTTCTGAACCTTTGGACCTACGGTAATTGGTTCAAGCAGCTCATGAAAAATAAGGTGTGTCAAATTAAGTGGTCTACAGCTGTCATCAGAGTGTCAGATACATATTTAATCAACATTTGGGTCAGTGAATGTATCAGATCAGACTTTGTACGTATTGAGGGAGCTGGATCAAAAAAACTGGATCATGCCATCCCTTGTGTCTTATTTTTAAGGTACAAAAGAAGTTTCTAAAGGTTTCTATTGAATTATGTGCAATAGCACCCTTAGGAGCAGGAATACAATGAGGCTTTTACAATAACAGATCAATCATCCAACTCTTCTTTCAGATACCCCCTTTCACCAATACATTTCTCTCTCCTCTCTGCTTTCCTTGCAGAGCCCAGTTTTGTTTTTGCCGACGTGATCAGTGAGGGGAGAAACAGAGTCGACGGCGAAGATGATAAAATCTACTACTTTTTCACTGAGGTGTCAGTGGAGTACGAATTCTTTGGCAAGCTGCTGATACCCAGGGTGGCGCGCGTCTGTAAGGTCAGTACACGTCACATACCATCTGCACATACCAGCAGCATCCCTCTTTAGCCCTTATCCACCTGCTGTCTGTATGCGTGTGTATTCTCTGTGTATATCCCTCTGTCCATTATCTTATATCTCTTTTCTTATATCATGATACAGATCAACTACAGTGAGTAAGTTATGTGTGCCCTGCCCACATAGACTTATAAGACACCAAAAACACGGTTGCAGCAGTGAAACATTTGTCAAAAAAACAACTTTTGTCTTCTCCCAAGGTTTAAAAAATATAATATGCCACAAAATAGTTTCCTATAAGTGTTTTTTAATAATCCGTTAAATCATTTTATAAATAGTTTTATTAATTGAATCAGTATATAATTAACACAAAAACATGAAGGATTTCTTCAGTCTCACCTAAATCACATAATAAACAGAGCATTTGTTCCCTAAAACTACCTACACCTGAAGCACTTCTTGCTTTGAGCGAAAGGTAATAACTGAACACAGCTCGGGGAAAAAAAAAAAGATGATTTTGAAAAGTAATGGGGACATGTTCCCCCTCATCCCCAGTGGAAATTACACCCTCACACACGCTCATACGCCTTCCAATTCCTCTCCCTCCCTCTTCTCATTTCTTTTTCCTTCAGCCTCTTTCATCTCCCTCTCCCCACAATGTGATAAAGATAAAGCTCTCGTCCACAGGGTGACCTCGGGGGACAGCGCACTCTGCAGAAGAAATGGACGTCCTTCCTAAAAGCCAAGCTGGTGTGCTCCATGCCCGAGCTCAACTTTGTTTTCAACGTGGTACATGACGTCTTCATCCTGAAGGGGGCAGACTGGAGGGACACAGTCATCTACGGGGTCTTCACCTCTCAGTGGTCAGTGACTCGGGTGGGATCAGTATTTGTCCGAAAAGGAGGGATATTTCAATGTAATGCAGATCCCTAAATGTACTATTCTCCCCTCTCCCACATCCTTGTCCCCCAGGGGCAACGTCGGCTTGTCAGCAGTGTGTGCTTACAACATGACAGCTGTGGAAGAGGTCTTCTCCAAGGGCAAGTACATGCAGAAGGCCACAGTGGAGCAGTCCCACACCAAGTGGGTGCGATACAACGGCATGACTCCTTCCCCTCGTCCTGGAGCAGTAAGTGCACTTTAAGGCAGCTCCAATGATTAAGACTGAGCTCAGTGTAAATCTTTTGTGTAGTCCGAAACCAGGAAATGCTTTATTTAGCCAGAATGTGAAAGAAAATGAATAAATTGGATGTGAACATACTTTCCAATAATTATTTGATGTCTCCTGTCTGCCTTCAGTGTATTAACAACCAGATGCGACAGCAGAACATCAGCAGCTCTCTCCACCTGCCAGACAAGACCCTCCAGTTTGTTAAGGACCACCCCCTGCTGGAGGATCCCGTCCTGCCCATCGGCAACGGGCCTCGCCTCATCACCAAAGACGTCAATTACACTCAGATTGTCGTGGAGAGGGTCCGCGCGCTTGACAAGAATATTTATGATGTCATCTTCACTGGAACAGGTAACAACACATCAGTTATTAAGTTATCCTCCTGTTTAAATGTTTATTAAATAGATTTTATTATTTTAATGCAGTATCTGGAACATGTAAATATTAAGAAGATTTTATCAACCATACATTATTTTTATGAATTATTCAGTGATCTGTCCAGTACATACTTTTAAAATGCTCTCCCTTAGTATAATTCACCTCTATTATGATTAACTTTAGTCCAACATTTGTTTATTTTACAGTATGTAAAGTCGAAGATGTTGTGACTTTTTACCATTTACTTTTACTACTTAGAAAAATTTGAAATTGATACTGTCCTCATCAAGTTAATTAGCTCCTGATGCTGATCTTATAGTACTGGTGTGCAGATGTAGTGCCCCTGTGTAATATTTATTCTAGTCAGCATTTCTTGATGTATGTAATTAAAGAGCTTTGTGTTATGAAAAAGCTGCCTGCATCACAACTGTTTTATATGTTTGTTTGTTTTTTTAATTAAATTACAAAGTAGACGATATTTAAAGATACTGTAAATATTCAAACAAATAAAAAAGCATTAAATGTAAATCACAAATCCTCTCAAAGGAGCTGCCTTTTCATAATACAAGTTGCGTTTAAAGGTGTCAAACTCTGGAAATGGAGAGGTAGAAAGTGGCCGATGGACAGTTTTAATGTTACAGTTCAAAATAATTGTAGACTTTTTAAAAGCCATGTCTCAACAGCAAAACGTGGCTACAACAAATCTTTATTGATCCATATCCCTCATAAATAATTACATTTGTTACAATGGGTATATAAAACTAAAATAATGGAGTAAAAAAATAGAAACTGTCTCCAAAAAAGATGCAAATAAATAAATTTATATATAGGGCAAACAAGCCTGCATAAAGTGCTGCATAAACAAAATAAGAAAAACAAGGCAAGTGTTAGGAGAACTGCTGCATCAGGCTGCCTGCCGCTTAACACCTGGCAGTAGTGGGTCTGTTTACACCACCAATGACAGCTGGCATAGATGGAGAATGATGTGGGTAAACAAACAAGGGAAAGAAGCTGATCAGCCTTAATTAAGCTGATGAAATTCAGCTGTGTGGACGGATCACTCAGTACATCCTGTGTTGTAATCTTTTGTTTTGAAGAAGCCCATTTCTGGCTTCTCTCTCGACTAAATGTCATTTTACCATTCTCACCTTTCAGATAAGGGAGTCCTGCACAAGTCGGTGGTGTATGAAGGAGACGTGCACATTGTGGAGGAGGTCCAGCTCCTGAAGAACTCTGAGTCCATCAAGAACTTGCTGCTGTCCTCTGAGGTCAGTGACTTTACTCTAACTGTTAATAACTGTTTAAAGAGACACTGTAGCTCAATAGAAAATGTGTTTTGAGCTCAGCAGATACAAACTGCACCCAGACAGGCAGTCTGTCTTGGTAGTTTTTATTTGAAGTGTTTAAGAGAGGTGTTGATTCAACTGTGTGATCATTTTGGAGGATTTAGTTTGTGGTGCTGTTGACTGCGTGGTATTTTCCACAGAGGTGTTTTGTTATTTACCCTCACGCACATTTGCAAGTGTCTTTGCATGTTTTTCTGATGTGCTCACTCTGTTGTGAAAAAGCTTACGATAGGAAGTTACAAGGAAGATGGCTTGACTGTTAAAAAGCACAAACAGCAGATGAGACAACACGTTTATCTCCACTGTGGTGTGTTTGTGGTTATCTGGAGTTCGCATTACAGCTTCTGCAGATGGCAATTAGCTGAGTGATCTATAAGTGTATTTCTTTTGTTTTGTCATGTTAACAACCTTGTGTTTCCACAGACACGCTCCCTGTACGCTGGTTCAGACTCGGGTGTAGTCCAGTCCCCCACAGCCTTCTGCGGCCGCTATCTGTCCTGCGCCGACTGTGTCCTGGCTCGAGACCCGTACTGCGCCTGGGACCCTCACACTGCTGCCTGTGTCAATATCTTTGACACTCCCAGCCAACGGCTTAGGTAACTCACCATCAAGCTTTTCTACATACCGGTACTCCACTCATGCATTATCACACCAGCTAGCGAAAGCAAAACCACCGTGGAGTGACATCTTTACTGATAGGCCATCCTGTTTGACCTGACTGTCTCACGCTCATTTCAGAGTGTGTGCATATTTTAGATCGCCATGAAAATAAAGCTTGTTTGTTTTTCCAGGAAGCTAATCCAGAGCCTGAATGGTGACGCAGACAAGTGTCCCTCAGGTAAGGTTCAACACGCTCATATACAGCTTAATAAAGACACTATAACATGGAGTGAAAGGAAAAAGTGGGCAATGTCAGTGCTTACTACACACTGATTATGGTGTGTTTTCAGGCCAAACTTTAACTGCCCAAAAGTCATTATTTCCCCTCTGTTTTGTAGCGTCACGTCTGACTCTGAAGGACTACCAGCGTGTCACAGTGAAACCAGGGAGCTCCGCTGAGCTGCCGTGCCTGGTGCACTCCAATCTGGCCCAGGTGATGTGGAAATCCAACGGCTCCGCTCTCACCGAGGCCTCTCGCTTCCACCTCATAGGCGAAAACGGTCTCCTTATTTACAGCGTGGCTCCAGAGGATCAAGGTCACTACGAGTGCTGGTCAGTGGAATGGGCCCCCGCCGCTGGGAAAAACTTCAGCCGCCTCCTGGCTGGATACGTCCTGACTCTGGATCTGCCGCCCAGAGCCCCTCACCAGGCGGGCCACGTGACCACCACCCTCGGCAGCCGGGAGCCGTCTAGCACACACGCAGCTGAAGGTAATGGTAAGACAGACAGAGCCCTACTAACGTCGGCCCTCGCCCCTCCCAGCTTCACAGCCACAGTCCAATTCACCTCCCCACCCCAAACTGACTCATCACTAACCCCCCCACCCAGCAGCACAATCAAGTTCCAACCAAAGCCGCACCTTCCCCCGAGCTCCAACGCTCCCCGCCCAGACAGCAGGGACCCAGCGGCTGAGTATTTGCAACACAACAACAGCACCGCCCTCCTCTTCCTCTTCCTCCTGTTTTTTCTCCTCTTCCTGGCCGCGTTGGCGTACAACTGCTACATGCAGTATCTTCCAGCTCCATGCCTGCGGATGCGAGCTGCTCTGTTGGGCAGTCACAAGAGCGCCCATCAGCCCGAGTACCTGGCCTGTGAGGCAGGTCTGATGGAAGCATCTGCAACTGACAAAATTAACATGACGGAGCAGCCGACGCAGAACGGCAGCCAGACCACTCAGAACCTCCGGGCGCTCCGCGACACTGGGTATGAGACTGAGCCGGAGTGTGGCAACGGCGGGATCCCCTCTCACACTTTTGGAGACGACAGCCCGTCCCAGGAGAAACCCTTCGATGTGGACTGTGAATCTCAGCCCATTGAGTTTGCAGATGCAGACGAGCCTTACTGCTAGCCAGACGCCTCTGATCTGCTCCTTCCTCTCAACATAGAGACTATTTATAGGGGGGGTCACACTCTTGCTGCATCTTCCCACGACTCACAAGTAAATGGTTTCCTCTATATGAAAGTATGTTCAGTGTACAGCATCACATAATAATCATCACAAAGCTTAAATCAGGCGTCCCGCTTGCCTGTAGAGATTTATCTCCTGTTGTCTGATTTCTGGCTTATGATGATAAAGCAAAAAACTGTATCCACAGAAGCTGCACCCTCTCAGCTTAGTCCAGCAAGAAAAGCTATTTCTTAAATTCCAAATTGGAAACATTGTTTACCAAATTGGTAAGTTACCTTGATGTTTTCCAAATTGGAGTCGTGTTTTTTTGTACAGCCTGGGTTAAAAATAATCTCTTGAAGCTTATCTTATTTCAAAGCAACGTGTCGGCTATTGGACTTTGGGTGAATGCTTCAACGTTACAGTAATTTCTCAGGGAAGATTTGCTCAGTACGTTCTAGCCTAGCTTTGTGCAGTGTTGCCATCTGCAGCACCTGGTATGTGGGCCTTAATCTCACCCAGCGAGGTGGCGATGTGGGGTTTGAAGGTCACGGAAAGAGAAGGGGACAAGCGACGACTTGCATGATTAGAAAAATGCTGGAATAAATCAAACCACTGTCTCGTGTAGAGTCGTCTTTGAGTGACAGTGTTGACTTTGTCTGTATTTAATTTTGTTTTCCTTCCTGTAAAGTCGACATTCCTATGTGGATACAACTCTGATGGTCCTGTGTATTAACCTGTACTAGTCATCTTCCCTTACGTTGTCTGTTAATAACAGAAATATGTGCGGTATGACGTGATGCTTGGTATCAATCATCAAGTTTTTTCTGAAACAGCCCTGGAAACAATCTTTTTTATCATTATTTTTAATCAAACCTTCAGTTTTGGAACATTTTCAGAGGATTATTATTTAAGATGAGTCACATTTGTGGAAATATCATTTTGTCTATTGTGTAAGTAATTGTCATCTTCTTCATTTGTTTTATTTATTGCAGTAGGTTAGTTTTTTTTAAGTCCATTAGTCTCCCTCTTGTCTGTGTTGCATGTCGCCCCTTCTTTAGATTTCCCATTTTCCTCAATACTCTCTTTTCCCATCACTCCCTCCCTCACAGCCTCCTCTCCTGTCGACACTTCATCTTCCCTGTCCTCCTCTGGAACTCCCTCTGCCCTCCCTTCCTCCTCTTCCTCTTCTTCCACCTCTTCCTCCGCCAAGCCCCACAGTGTCGGGGCGCGGGAGGCAGAGGTGAGACTGTTGCCTCCCCTGCTGAAGGACCAGGCCTGGGGGGTTCACGCCCAGGAGGCCTTCCTGCTCTTCTGTCTGGCCTTGGGTGAGTGGTGTCTGTGACTCAGCTCCTGAACTGGAAATTGATTCCTTCTCACTTTTTAACCTTCCCCTTTTTCACTCTCTCCTCTCTGCATGTTGCATGTTACCATTTCCCAACATGAACTAACCGGGAGTGTGTGTGTGTGTGTCTAAAATAAGCCTGCTTTGCTTCAAGGCGTCTGACTCATGGAGAACTGTTCATCTCCGTTTTAGGTGTCACATAAGATACCTTAATGAGTGAATGTTTAAAAAGATAAGTTTCGATATTGAACTGTCGACCTCTCGGTGATCTCACAGTTCTCAATTCTATGTAATGAAAGGTATAGTTTTGTGTATAGTATTATGTAACAGCGGTCTGACGTGAAACATGTAAAATTTCGAAGTGGGTCCTTTTTTTATCCAGGGTGTTACTGTAAGCTCAAATGTCTTACATCTCAATACTTTATCTGGATCATTTTTTGTGCCTGTAAACAAGTGCAAATATATTTGTATATATGGGAAAATACCATTTGAAGATGTACATAAATCTAGGGGACATTTTGGGAATATTGCTCTTGGTAGGGAGGCTAAATAAATCTTGTCAAATGTTTTCAACACTGGCTTGTTTTCTTAAATGTTTGACTCCAGTCATCATCATTACGTAGTGAGGATAACAGCGAAAGGGACAACAAAAAAACTACTGTATGTGACCGAAAGTTTAGGATCCTGTTGCAAAATACCAGAGGTGTGGACTCAAGTCACACTTGAGTCACAAATTTGATGACTGTGACAAAAAAAAAAAAGCCTTGCAACTCAGCTTGCACCACACCAATGACTTGTGACTTCACTTGGACTTGAGCTTTTTGATTTGAAAATACTTGATATCTTCCACTTTTATATGTTTAAGTTCAGTCACCCTTATTAAACAAAAAAATGTACTAAGTTAAAGTATGCATGATTTTTGCAAATTTCATATCTTATTCTTTTGTTAAAATGACATTACATTCAGTGAAGAGTGCATTATGACTTGTTTTGGACTCGAAACCCAAAGATGAGGACTTGGGGCTGACTCGGAACTTGCCTGTCTTGACTTGGGACATAAGTGCAAGGACTTGAGACTTACTTGTTGTGACTTAGAAAACAATGAGATGGTCCCACATCTGGCAAATACTGAAAGCATAAGCAAAAAAAAAAAAAAAGTTTAAAAATTGGAAATCTTACTATGATTATGTAAATTCCTGCAAACTATGCACAGTAGGGCTGCAACGATTAGTCGACTAATCGATGACTAATTGACTATTAAAATAATCGTTGACTATTTTAGTATTCAACTAATCGGTTTGAGTCATTTTTTATAGAAAAGTACTATAAAAGAACCCCAAAGTACTCTTATTGCAGCTTCTTACATATTGGCAGCATTACACACTCTCCCATGATGGTGAACTATTAACCTTTGGCGTGAGTACGAGACAAGATATTAGATGACATAATTTTGGGGTTTGGGAGAGACAGACCGACATTTTTCAACTTTCCAACACATTTTTCGATAAAATGATTAGTCGACTAATCGAAGAAATAATCGACAGATTAGTCGACAATGAAAATAATTGTTAGTTGCAGCCCTAATGCACCGCTCAGTAAATCTGGCTTCATCAGCAACTCCGCCTTCAGACATTATGCAGACTTGTACACTGCATGTGTATTTAGTCGCCTCTAGGGCTTATTGCTGAAACTCGAACTCCACAAATGGATCTCAGGCAAGTATTCCTATCTCATGTACAGTACATCTATGTGACCATCACGGGGGTCAACATGAAGTCCTGTTCTGTCCCTCAGGTCCCAGTGATGTCCACATTCACTGGCTAATAAATGGGCACACTCTGGACACCCCCATAATGGAGTACCGCCTGCCGCTGGGTCAGAGGGAGGTTCTAGTGAGCAGCTGGCTCCGAGAGGGGCCGCTGATCAAGGACGCTCGTTACCACTGTGTCGCAGAGGCCAGCACAGGAAATGACATATCTGAGATTGACCTTCACCTCACTATTGGAGGTATCTGCACGTGATGCTTGTATGGCTCTGAAAATGTGTGCAGAACTTTATGGACACATCTACCTTGACAATATGTATTTTCAGTATTGAAACCTATTATGTCTCCAATGTGAGAAATACTGTGAGTAATGCATGTAGAGGGTTAATACAGTGCCTGGGATTAGTTGCCATTATATCCGTAAAAGATGTTGTTATTTGACAGATGAGGAGAGCATTCCTACCAGGGATTTGAACCAGTGGAGAGGTGCGCTCACAGAGCACGAACAACTGCTAAAGAGATGGGAAAAGGCCTGGGTAGGTCTGTGTTCGTGCATGCGAGTGTGTTTTCTCCCAACTTCATAACAGTTATTGTGCAGTCGCCTGGGTCGACTTACATCACGGGCACCAGTTTTAACCTGCTCTGCATGTTTGGCTGTAGGCGAGTGGTTTGAACCCTCAGTGCCAGTTTGTTTTCCAGATGATCTTTACTTAACAGTGTTTTCTACGATCTGAATAAGGTGTTTATCAGGGTTACTACACTAAATTACCAGCTGCTGCAGGAACAGCTGGTAATTTACTACACTAAATTACCAGCTGTTCCTGCAGCTTTTTTGTTAACTGCAATTACATTTAACTACATTTTGTGTTCAACATGATCTATTAACCATATCCAGCTAACTGTGTTACAGATAACTAAAGATTACTAATATCTTGCGAGGCTTCTGACTAAAATATTGAATGTCTTATGGGGAGCAGGTCATTATTAGATCTATCAATCTACAGTAGATTTTGATTCACAATTATCGTGTTTTTTTCTATTTAGATTTTCTTTATTATAACTTTAACATTAAAGGGGATTCTGTCTCCATAGTTAAAGGTAATGTTACATCATCCATCTGTACCTGTAGCTGTAAAGGTTTGGAGAAACATGCATACAAGTTTAATTCAGTTCAGTTCAATTCAATTGTATGTATATATGTAGAAAGGTAGAAATTTCAGGAAGAGCAACTGAAGAGGGATCCCTCTTCCAGGACGGACACACGTGCAACAGATTTCGTGTGTGCAGAACAGATCAACATAAATAATTTACAGTCATCCACATGACCAAATGATGCATAAAGAGACAGATGCAGAGAGAGATGCAGGGCAAACAGTGAGGACAATAGCTACAATAATATTGGTTTTAGTTTACAGACTCAGATCCAGTCTCTCTTTGTTTCATTTGAATGCAGATCTACTACTGCAATGCAAACTCCCTCCCTGCAAAGCAGTTTCCAAGTTGTAAACTAGCTTAAAGGGACAGTTTCACCCCAAAAATATTCTTCCATTTTTTTCCATCTTACATTTAGTGCTGTTTATCAGTCTAGATTGTTTTGGTGTGAGTCCCTGAGTGTTGGAGATATCAGCGATAGAGACGTCTGCCTCCTCTCAATTATGTCTTTTTCCAGAAATCATGACTGGGTTACACGAGTGCCATCTAGTTCCATTATATTTGAGAGAAGGCAGACACCTCTATGGCTGAGATCTCCAACACTCTGCAACTCACACCAAAACAATCTAGACTGATAAATAACACTACAGGTAAAAGGAAAAATAAGTATTTTTTTTATTTGGGGGTGAACGGTCCCTTTAACTTAAGCTATTCAGATACATTTTCATTATATTTTGAATTACTGGTAAAATCTTAGATGTGGCGGCAGATTCAGAGGTCTAGAAGTAGGCTACTTTAACCTCTGTTATCAACATTTAAAAATAATTTGCATTTCTGATAGTGACTGAAAGCATCTAAGTGTATTTGGTGAGATTTTAGCACACTACAGATCAACCCTTAACACTTCATGTGTCTATCCTCCCCTAGTTGCACAGTACAACTCTGTTTTTCCTTCCACAGGAAAGCTGTGACGGCCACTGAGCCCTCTTAAGACGTCATGAGCTTCACTTGTGTTGGCTGAACCACACCTTTTGACACTGAGACTATCATAAACAGACGGAATACGATGTCTCAGTGTCACTTCTTACGGAGAAGCTTGATGGAGCGTGCAGCAAAGAATTCACAGCACCTGCCTTCTGCAGGGGGGGCTCACCTGGCTGTGATGATGGTGTTGGGACTCCTTCCAAAAACTGACAAGGAGATGAGGGTCATCGGTCTGAGGGCGCATGGGCTGCCTGTCTTCCAAACATGCATTAATTTCTATTTTTACTGATGAAAATGAACATCCTGAAAGCAGTGCTTGTATGGAACAATAAAACTGATGGTGTATGAGGAGCACTGATCTGAATTTGTAAGTGATGGAGCATCTGTGGCCTGTTTATACTTTATTTCACAGAGTTCTCAGATGTGTGCTCCGTCGTTGCCTTCTAAAGCCTCAGTACGGCCCTTCAGAGCTATACTTGCAGTTTGACATTTTCACTTGAGATTATACAGTGTCTTTAATATTTATTGGGTATTTATTTTTTTCCTTCCAGAGAGTCAAAGCCCGAGTTTAGTCACAGGATTTTGATTGCCGGATTGAAGAAGGTTACTGTGGGAAGTAGAGTTCTTTCCAATGACAGTATACCTCTGATGTTTGACATTAAGCAAGATCATATCACCAGGAGTGAAATTCAGCTTGAAACCCCAGCATCCAAAATGCCATCCTTGGCATAGCTTGGATTTTTACAGTCTGTACCTCACTGCTGTCTGTCTGCAGTTAGTTTTTGTTCACATTAAAACTACCTACTTGCTTTTGAAGCACAAATAAATGGAGTTTATCTGTTGCTTACATTGACTTAAGGAAAAGTGCATCACATTTTTGCCATGTATGAATAATGCATGTTTATATTTTTTACATCAGGTGATAGATTAAATATTCACAGACCTGTTTGACCCATTTATAAACAAGTTATTACCCCTGCAGGATCAAAACCAGAGTGGCACAGTGCC